TTTTTAATTTTTAATTACTACTTAAAGAATAATTACTATATTAATATAAATAATATCTCTTGTTTAATAATTAATAATTATTTATTAATTATATAATATATAATTATAATATATTATTATATACATATAAACATTTTTTCCCGATTAAATTTCCAAGCTGATTTTTCTATCAATTACATTTAAAGAACGATAGAGACATGTGTAATTTATTCCATCTGCTTTAAACAGTTAATATATTCTATAAAAAGTTCTATAAAAAGTTCGCGCACACATACGTTTTAAAATTAATTAAGGATGTTTCTATTCTCTGTATACGTTTCGGAATTAATTCGCATCGAGATTTAAAAGAGATACGCGACAATTTTGATATCGTTAAAGGTCGCCTCGGTAATCGTCGAGCGTTAACGGCGAGAAAGTAATCGCGCGCTGCGATTTAGAGAAGTGTTTGTGCACAGTAGCATGATACGCGAAATCGACAAGCACAAGCTCTTCTCGGACTAGGATCGTTTCATTATTCAGAGGGCCCGCATGCAGTAACACGCGTCCTTCCCGGGATTCACGTGCAATTGAAGCAGCCGAGCTGGTCTGCGTACGTGCTCGGTTTTTTTTCCCCCTCGTAGCTTCATTATGTATAAGGTGGCGGACAAACTGCTCTTTCTCGTTACCTTCCACTCAGATTGCTCCTCGATTAAGAATTACTCATCCAATCTCTCTTCTTTTGTGACGAAATTTGAGAGTTTTTGATATCGCGTTTTATTTTGTATAGCGGGGCAAAAAATTTTCTTGTCTCTCTCTTTCTATAAAATTTTCGACCAGCGATTGAAAAAATATTTTAATAATTTTTGATATAAGGTTTTTATAAATTTGGAATATATTCAATATTAATAGAATATTATTTCAATATTAATATGAGTATGGCTATTTTATTATATTATATACGGCAAGAGAGACGAAATTTGTCAAGCTATATATATATACTGATACTTTTGAACGCTATTATAAATGTGATATTGTCGCTCGGTCCAGCAATAATTTAAAGTGACGATACTTTTTTTTATTATCGCATAAGAAGCTTCTTGTTCCGTCGTTACTTTGCAAATTTTTTCTCCATGTCGATGATTCTCGTTTGATAATATCACTGATCTCAGCGATGGCTATAATCTTATTACACTAGCCAGGTTATATTATATCCAAGCCAAGGTAACAAGTAAACTTCAAAGGATACTGGACCGGACAACGACGATTAAGGTACTAAAGCTTTTGTAGCAGAGAAATTAATACTGTATACATTTGATAGCGCGATCGTTAAACGAACGAACAGCTGATCTAGTCTTATCGTTATAATGAATTTATCGTGAACTTTATTTAAACTGTACGATATATTCCTAGTTTATATAAAATATCTTTACAAGATTATAAACACACAATATTTCGAAAAGATAAAATGGTATAAAAAATGAGAGATTGCGCGATAACAAATTTTTTAAATATACTTATTAAAAAAGAAATATTGAAAGATATAGAAATAATAATTTTGAAAAATTAAGACATAAACTTTTTACTATTGCGGTATTTAATTTTGTAGAGGATTAAATTGAGTTGTGAAGTCTGGCGTGTAACAGATAAGTCGAAATTATGCAGTACTTACAATTAGTGAATTTTTCTTAAACAATATTACAGTACATAATTATGCAGTACTTAGCGAATATTTCTTAAATAATATTACGGCGCAATTTGCTCTTAAGATAAGCAGATGCGGCGGATAGGTATAAGTTAGAAATTAACCTGCGTCGGCGTTTGTGGTTTAATGTAAAGTGCGCGCAAAGCTCTTTGCATGCGTGCTTTGCTCGCTTTTGAAGCACAAACTTGGTAGTTGACTGCACGTGAAGTGGCGGAGAGAAGTTTTTAAGTCGCGTGAAATTTCGCGCAAACCCTCCCTCGCTAAAGTCGATTACGTTTCTTTAGAAAGAAAGAGGGAAGTGATCGTGGGAAGTGCATTAGTTCGACGACCATGTCTAGGTTTATCGAGTTTACGCACGGATATCGTGGATCGATATACGAAGTCGTAAATTATCGTTCACTCTCGCTTATATTATTTTTCACCTCCGAGATTTTTTTTTCTATAAAATAGTTTCGAAAAAAGATCAGGAGCAAAGTAATCCTTTATTTAACCATGCTGTAAGATTTAGTAATAATTATATAGGAGATGATAATAATATAATTAAATATGATTAATAATATAATAAAAATTGTCGAATATGAAAGGATATTCTCGTTGAAATTTTAGCACATTTAACTTAATTCTTAAACAATTTTTCCAAGAGATCTGAGATTATTACATAGATTTATTTTAATATATTTTTCGTGCGATCGATATACGAAATCGTAAATTATTGTCCACTCTCGCTTATATTATTTTTCACCTCCGAGATTTTTTTCTATAAAATAGTTTCGAAAAAAAATCAGAAGCAAAGCAATCCTTTATTTAGCCACGCTGTAAGGTTTAGTATTAATTGTATAGGAGATAGTAATAATATAATTAAATATAATTAAAATTGTCGAATATAAAAGGATATTCTCGTTGAAATTTTAGCACGTTTATCTTAATTCTTAAACAATTTCTCCAAGAGATCTGAGAGATTATTACATTGGTTTATTTTAATATATTTTTCGGACATTAAATCGTCACCACTAATATCGCGAGATATTTCGAAAAGTTTCCTGACTGGCGTAAACGAGAGGGAAGTTATTAATCTCCAAGGTACAGGGAAAGGTACGGAAGTAATGTCTCTTAGTTTGCGCCGCGTTAATGTGCCCGCCCGGAAAAAGAGAGATCAGCGAGAGATAAAGCTCGGCATGGAAAATTCATACATTTCAGGCTCTTGTATCCGACCACTTTTCCACTGTTCACCTTCGCCCCTTTTTCTATACCGCTTGTCTCTTTTTCCGTCATCCCTGTCGATTCTCCTCACTTCCTTTCTATCGCCACTCTCTCTTTTCTCGCTCCGTCCTCTCGTCGAATCGATAAAGGCGTCAGTTTACAGGAATACTTTTACCTCACAATTGCATGCATGATGTAATATCGCAAATAACAGTCTTCCTGAAAAAGGGATCGCGCGTTTCGCGTAGAATCGCCCATTAAAGAAGATATAACGTAAACTCGCAAACGGGGAAAACACATACAATGTACACGTTTTTGAAATTTGACAACACAAAAATTTTAAACATAATTTTTTATAACTTTGAGATGATTAATTACGGTCTCTCGTCAAAGTGGATGAAACCGCTATTTTCTCCTATATACAAAATATACACGGGTTTACCGTTGTTGTTGCGTCTGGCCGAGATCACTTTGGCTTTCATCGTACAATTGATACTGATTTTATAATTAATTAGTCGACGTTGTTCTGTGAGCGCAAGTGATCGCGCGGGGTAAGGTTTGACTAATCGTTCAATTAATTAATATAATGACAGCAGTCGATATAAGGTCCCCGATGGGTTTTGCGTGTACATTAGCGATTTGCGTTTAATTTTCAAAGCACGATAGTGCAAGATAATGTACACAGCTATGATTAAGCGCGCAGCGTATACAAAGGCCGTCATACACGGTTGATAAAAACCTAATGCTTGTGCAAAGCGTACGCGTGACAGACATCACGCGTCGGGCAACAAAATTATTGATAGCGGTGTTTTTTTTTTTTTTTTTTTTTTTTTTTTTTTTTTTTTTTCGACGCTCAACGCATCGAAAAATTTTCGTCGTTGCGGTAACATAAATTACTCGAGGTCGTGAAAAATAAAAACGTCGCGTATTTTATCCGATGCAAATTTTTTCTCTGCATTAATTATATTATGAAAGAAACATTGAGACGTTTCTAACTAGATTGGACCGGTTTTTACGATAACGCGTTTTATTTTATTATTCGTACGTGCC